AGGGCCCGCCCTGGCTCCGGACCACTGTCCTTTCCCGACGAGGCCCGAGGGAGGGAGTTGGAGGATCGGGGCGGGCGTGGGAGCCAACCCTTGGAGCTCTGCACCTCGGCTTCGGAGGCCGGAAGAGGGACCTCCGCCCGCGCCCTTCCGCGGCCTCAGTTTCCCCTTGGGAGGTCCAGCGAGGGCGATGGCGTTTTCCCTCCTGGCTTAGCCCGAGGTTGAGATAAGCCTGGAGCTCGGCTCTGCCTGTCCTCGTTAGCCATCCCCGCCCCCGGGGCCGGATGTGAGCGCCGGGTTAGGCGCAGAGGCAAGCGAGCTCGGGGAGCGGAGGCCCGGCTGGACCTCAGGGTCTGGCCCGTGGGGAACCTCCACCCACCGCTCCTGTCCCCGCCTACCGCCGAGAGTCCACCTCTTTTCTTCCTCCGCCTCCTGCCATCTTCCCTGGTCTCCTGTCAAGTCCATGCGCCTCTGTCCCCTCCCCCTCCAGTATGAACTCATTTCTCAACCTACATATACGTGCGCCTTACTCCGGAGTAGACAGGGGTGCGGCAGCCAGTCTCTGACCCCGAGCGCTCAGGACACCTGGCTTTCGCCAGCACCCTCCCCTTCTCTAAGCCTCCGTTTCTCCCGCTGTAGCGTGGGATCAAAACCCGAAAGTGTTGGGGACGCTGGAGCCTGTGCACAGGCATTCCCTTTCCTCTGGGAAGGACCGCGTGGGCGCCGAGCCGACTCAGGGCTGCTGGTCATCCAGCCCCAAACTCTGTTCCCTGAGATTCCAGAGTGCATCCCAGTCCTTCCCGCCCGGAGAAGGGTCAGGTGCAATGCCTGGACAGCCTTTTTCCCCGAGTGCCGGGCCCCTCCCCAGCCTCAGTTTCCCCTGGCGTAAGGCAGGCTTGGAGGCCAGCCAGCTCGCGCTGGGAAAGGCTGCTGGCGGAAGCACTCGGCCTCTCGGGCTGGGCACCCGGGCGCGGGGAGGAGCGCAGCAGCCATTTTGATGCCCAGGGCCCGCAGGAGTCGCCCCTGCAGGAGGCCTCCCTCCCACGCCACGCCCCTCCCC